GGGTTGATATCGTCAAGATATCAACCAATGAGCAGACTCTTTGGTCGACCCATCAATATCACCACTATTGGTGATAATGTTAAAAGAATATTTAACATAATATAATTTATTGTCATTATCCCTCAAATGACAATTTCCATGTAACGGGCTGCCCCGTTACATACACAGCCCAGTCCATAGCCTTCCGGCCGCTTGTACCATGTCACGTCCACAAGGTGGATGTGCCATGGACGCTCATGGTGCACGCACATCTCGTTTGCAGTGCCCGCGTCGGAAACGGGTGTAGATTATCGCTGAGATCCAACGTGAGCATGAGCGCGGATCGGTCCGTTGCTTTGCCGTACATGGCGAGGCTGCACTTCAAGCAGAGCTTTTGGTAACAAGGCGTGGAATTGCCACCACAGGTTCAGGTCGCGAGCTGCCAAAAGCTCATATTGCGGGCCGTCCATGTACGCCTGATTGTGCGCGTGTGATAATGCCGAAACTGAATTTACGGTACGGTGCATTGCTTACGCTTTACTAAACCAACACCTTCTGGTATACAACGCATCGTAACCACAGCGCGTGTGTTGCCAGTGTCTTTCCTACGATACGGTGGCTCGATGAAATGGAGCGATGTCTGGAAAAGAAAGTTGAATGTAAAAACACGCGTATATTCTTACTGGTCATCAGGCACTTGAAAAAGCGAATGCATCTGTAGTGGGCCACTGCACTCGCACAATATCCAGCGAACTCACTCATCCCAATCCATTTCATACTCGCGTTGAAGAAGCTGATATGAAGACCAGCCAGAGTTTTCTCAGCCTAGCCGTTTTTGCCGAACAGCACGTATAGTCGCGGGCTGTGAGACTCCCTTCCTTTTCTGGGTCTCTCCCTTCCTTTTTCCCCGCTCATTTGCAAGTGCTTTCTCAATCTTCTCCGCTTCGACGCACGAAGCCAAATCCATGTCGGTACCATGTTTTTCGTGATAGAGTTTGATGTACTCCTTCAAAGTGTCAGAACCTGCACTGTACTGCTCCAAAATGTCATCTTCTGCACGTGAGATGTCATCAATTTTCAAGTTGTTCATCTCGAGCAAGCCAATAACATCGCCCACGGATTTGCCACTATTCAGCCAACTCGTAAGCATCGCATTCTGCAGCCGCTCAGCTCTAGGCCCGATGACTGGATACCCCTTTGCGGTCGAAAGAATAGGCGCGAGTCTGGCGGCGCCACCAGTAGCTGCCAGCAACGGACCCAGCAGGCTGTCCGCGTTCACTGCCATGTAAAGAATACTGCTGACGAAATCGACGGCCGAAATGCCATCGTCTCGTTGCCAAACGTAACCTTCATCAACGTTCTTGCGAGGCTTTGTTCCTTCCAGTATCATCATTGCGAGTTTGCTGTCAGTAAGCTCCCCTCTTAAAAACGAAAGCATATCCGTCTCCTTGCCATATTTCTTATCATAGAGGTCAATGTATTGCGCGAAAGTATCCAGATCTTCGTATGTGATGCTTCTCAATTCCGAGAGCTTGAGCAAGTTAAACACATCAACAGGATCGCCATAACCCAGCCAACTGTTAAGCATCACACGCTGCAACTCCTCTGCTCTATGCCCAACGACTTGACTCTTCTTCGCGATCGACAAAATAGGTGCGAGTCTGGCGGGGCCACCGAAAAGTACCAACAACGGATCCAGTAGGCTCTGTACATCGACTTCTTGAACAAGGATACTGCTGACGAAATCGGCGGCCGATTTGCCATCGCCTACCCGTTTCCAAACAAACCCTTCACCATTGTTTGCAAAAGTCCCCGATCCTTTTAGTACCATCAGTGCGAGGTTATCGTTGCCGAGCTTCATTCGTAACCACTCAAACATATCCGTTCTTTCATCATGTCTCTCGTTACGAAGTTTAATGTATTGCGAGAAAGTATCCAGAACTTCGAATGTGATGCCCTGCTTCCTCAATTTCGAAAGCTTCAGCAAACCAAAAACATTGACGACAGATTTGCTACTGTCCAGCCACCTCTTGAGCATTGCATTCTGCAGCCGCTCTGCTCTGAACCCGATGACTGGATGCCTCTTTGCGGCCGAAAGAATAGGCGCGAGTCTGGCGGCGCCACCAGTAGCTGCCAGCAACGGACCCAGCAGGCTGTCCGCGTTCACTGCCATGTAAAGAATACTGCTGACGAAATCGACGGCCGATATGCCATCGTCTCGTTGCCAAACGTAACCTTCATCAACGTTCTTGAAAGGCTTTGTTCCTTCCAGTATCATCATTGCGAGTTTGCTGTCAGTAAGCTCCCCTCTTAAAAACGAAAGCATATCCGTCTCCTTGCCATATTTCTTATCATAGAGGTCAATGTATTGCGCGAAAGTATCCAGATCTTCGTATGTGATGCTTCTCAATTCCGAGAGCTTGAGCCAGTTAAACACATCAACAGGATCGCCATAACCCAGCCAACTGTTAAGCATCACACGCTGCAACTCCTCTGCTCTATGCCCAACGACTTGACTCTTCTTCGCGATCGACAAAATAGGCGCGAGTTCGGCGGCGCCACCGAAGGCTACCAACAATGAATCCAGCGACTCATGTCCAGTCTGCATCGGCTCGCTCTTCACGCTACGTGTTTGGTCGTCAAAAGCGTGTCCCTGTTTGGCTTCCAAATCGGGTAAAAATTGGTCGTACATCGTTTGCGGTTGTCTCTTCTTCTCGTTCAAGATCGTCTGCACGAGGTGCTTTTCACTGTCGGCAGATTTACGAGCGTGACCAACAATCAAATTGAGAAGGGTGCTCTCCTGTGTATATTGCAGCTCAATTCCCGCAGCATTGCACCGAGCTATCACCTCCTCGACAATCTGCGGCAAGACATGCGCGTCAATCTGTTTTAAGCGACCAACAGCTTCATCTGTAAGTTTGTACACGTCGCGATTGGCGTGCAATATACCCATGACTTTCTTCAACACCATATCTGGTCGTAGAATGTTACGTTGTTCTACAGATACGAAAGAGGCCAAGTCTTGCGGCATCTTGTCTTCCTCGTCCGTGGTAGAGCGCACCTTCACGGGACGATCGGCCGGGCCCCTGCTGTGGACACCGACATTGGTGCGAACACCGGTCGAAACGTCGACCACAGTCTCGTTCAAGCCGAACGAACTCGATACGCATATCGGGAGTGCAGCAGTGCCCAGGAGCGCGACGGCGTACACACGCATCTCCAGGCAGTGTTGTCGGCTACTCTGAGGACGACGAACGACTTTGAGAGACCAGACACGTGACTCGCGCAGCGGTCCAATGATTCTGGTGGGGAACCAGATGGTACAGCTGCAAATCTGTCGCCATCTCTTGTGGTACAGTAGGCTCTGTTTAAATGAGGAGTGTAGGAATACTTATATTTGTATTCGTTTTTGCAATATGCTTGTCATGGTCAGAGGAGAAGCCAGTGTCGTTTTCGAGCCAATAAACGTCGCCATGGCTGCCAGCGAATCCTTCCATGATTATACACTCAGTACGTAGCGCGATCACCGATACGTAGCAAGACAATTTCTACACTTCCAGTATGTTTTTCCCAACACGTCACTACACCCAAAATGCAAAACTCCACGTAGTCATGCATTAACTAAGAGACAGGAGCAAGGTCTGTGACTCGTCTGCTCGATGGACAGATCGATGGCGTCTCTCCGATGCTGTCGACGTCGCTTCCTTCGGCATTTCCACGAAAGACTTTGCTCCTGAGCTGCACGTTGTAGAACGATCGACGAGAGTAACTATCGCAATGTAGCATCAGTGGTACTGGCCGTCAAACTTTGAATCGCACGTGGTCACTACTGGTCGTGCTAGAGCTCAATTTGGTTGTACATATCATACAGCAGGTGCCACGTTTTCAATAGTGCTTATAAATTCGTATGCTGATCAACAAATGGCCCTAATGGGGACCAAGAACATACGAAGATGCGAGTCGTATCGTCTGTCGCTCGGTGGATGACGAACAGTCGGTTGGGCAAGACCGGCGACGAAGAAGTATTGAAACAGCAACGAGAGCACTTTTGGCACATATAGACAAGCTCGATATGTACACGGTGGTGAACTGAAACGCTCTGTATTCTGCCGCACCTTTCAGCTCTCAGGTCCAGCTACGTATCATGGATCAGCAGCTCATGTTGCTGCGCGTACGCGACGCGATCATGAGAATGGATGATGCTTCTCTACTGGATCACGTATGCCTCAAACGTCGACACCGGACCGAATCGTGCGAATAGCGACATAGTGGAAGGCAAGCCATGATGCACATGACAATACAACGCAATGTGAGCATATGCGCCAATCGCCGTGAAATCGTCACTCACGTGTCTGTATCTTCTACGTTGATGCAACTCGATAGCTTCGATCAATCTGGACGGCATATTGTCGTAAGACTAGCAACATACTGCTGCCAGGTGAGTGCTACATCTCACCACGTGGTAGCCCTGTAACACTCCTTGGTGAGTCTTCCAGAGCCAAGGACGATGATGGCTGCATGTCAAGAACCAACAAATCTTGCGTGACCAATTCCTTACAAGCCTCGATTTGTTTGGTCAGCATAGGTATCATTACCGATGGATTCGTTTCGATACGTTTCTGTCCACATGGACCGTCGAAAGAATCGCATCCGTCTATGTTTCTGTACGTGTCTCGTATCCATACACAGTGCATGTAGCGGAGCTACACAGCTTCTTAAGTCAGAGGAAGACTTAACGCTCTAACGAGCAACTTTGGTTCTACGAACCCGACTCAAAGAGTCAACAGCTCCGAGAGCTAAGGGTTGGTTCAAAGAATCCGACTCAAAGAGTCAACAAGCTCAAAGAGCTTACGGTCCCTGTTCCAGGGGGACCAAACGATTCAAAGAATCAAAAGCACTAAGTGCACAAGGAGTAGCTGCCTTAACAAGGCGTTGCTACCTCCTTAACGATCGCAAGACGCCTCAGAGAGGCACGTGCCTTTTGTTGGTCAAAATGGGAACTGAATTTTATTTCTTCTTTTAACCTAAAAGAACACCGTAGAACAAAGTAGTAACCTACTCACTTATGTCCCAAATAGGCCTATTAAAAGATCTCGTAATCAATGGTTGAATGACATCAGTCTTCAACATTTAATACTTGTATTCTAATATTACTTAAACGGGGATCCCATCCCTTGTGTGTACCACACCTGTTGTCGACTACCAGTCGACGTGTAACCCCGTTACACCCTCCCCAACCAGACTAAAGTTTCCACATAACGTCAATCGAATTCTTTCCTCGAATAGGACGGTGTATGTGTGCTTCAAATTTACGGTTGGCAAAACACAAAACACCATGGCATCGCCAACCCATGAGTCCTCGACTTTTTCGTCTATCCTCGGCATCGAATTAAAGGTGGATTATGGTAGCGATATCGATATCCATGGTGACGAGAGCACAATGTCCGACTCACCAGTGCAAGAGGCAGCGCCTCATATTGCACCTAACCCATTTGCCAAGCGTGGCGAAGCCAACGCGCCATCGGCGCCGCATCAAACACTTCTTGTGGGCGATGCCATCATCACTAAATCCGCTCGATGAGCAACAACAGTTGGCTATCCAACGAGTGGAGAGCGCTCAGCGCCGTATGCAGCTTGCTGAAACCCTTGAGGGTCGTCGTGGCTATCTGTTCACACCACTCAACGTGGAAGAGCGTATACGCTAAACGATAGGTCATTCTTTGGCAACGTGGGCCATTGGCGCTGAGCCAACATCTTCTTATGAGGTGGCGAGTCGACAGGCACTTCGTGAGAGGTATCTGCAACCACACTTGACGACTCAAAGTCAATACAAGTTGCGACTTGACACGCAAGCACGGGGTGCACCGGTTCCACCAATGAAGGGTATACCCATCCTCTTATTCGCAGGCAAATTTCAGGAGGGAGAAGACAACGCTTTTGTTCGCTGGGTGCATCGAGAACGGCACCTCAGCAGCGTGTTAGCTCTTAGAGCAAGTGCCGATGTGGCAGATGTTCGTCCAGAACGAAGCTTCGGTATGATTACGCCAACCTAAAGGCCAGAGACCAGTTGCGAACTCGCACACGCTATGCTCCGGCTGTGCCGATTGATGTGGGTGTTGGTCAAGTGGTGCCCAACTACCCACCTGCCTCCACCACTATAGGTGAGAAGTGATGTCGGTCGAGGGATGACCCGTGCCACGATGTTCAAAAACATCAACGGCGGATGGGCAATCCTGCCGAAGGGTTGTCTCAATCTCCCACGAGTTCTCCGACTCCAACTACCCTCGCCACTTCACCAGATGCGGGTATTGGAAACGATGCCGAGTTTGCTTCAGGTGTCGCTCCAAACGAAACTGGAGGTTCCCTTGCTCATCGGGCAGCGTCGGTGGTGGTCGGTGTACCGAAAGAGGAGCATGAGAAGGTGCTTCTCGAGCTGAGTGGTCTCTGAAAGACATTTGGTACGACACTGAGTGCGTTTGACGCGATGCGAGCCCGTGTTGGGGCTTTGGAGTTGGGTCAAGCCCGCGTTCAAGCATTGGAGTTGGCCTTAGCCCTAGTGGACGGCCAGCATGACCTCCTGGCTCGGATGCAACAGTCGACGGCAAGGCCCTATTACCCGGCGCTAGCGCCTCCGAGTTCACCTGATACGGGTCCCGATACGGCTTAAATAAGCCAATGTAGAATACTAGATGTGTGCGCAGTTTGCGCGGAAGGTTGAGCGTATACGCAAGTCCCTTCTCAGCAACGACCGTGAACGGTCTAATGAAGCGCGGGCGCAACTTTGTCTTGAAGACAGCAGACACTACATTTGTAGGTAGATTTTTAGCATTGAGTAGAACATGGTCTCCGACGTCATAACGTTCAATACAACTTCTGCGTTTAGCATCAGCTTGTTTCTTCTGCTTGTCTTGGCTATCAGCCATTGTGTCACGCACATGTCGTAAGACATTCAATCGCGTTGCGAGAAACTCGCTTACCTGTTTTCGAACAGTAGAAGGGCTGATATCAGCAAGCCGATCGGCCACATCTCCCCCACCAATCCCTGAACCACGCAGTGGTAGCGTTAACGGAACGCGAGGGTGTGTGAGACCATTCACATAAAATGGTTTGTAGCCGGTGGATGCACGGCGTTATTCAACGCAAACTCAATGACAGGGAGAATCGAACTCCAACGCTTTGGCGTTTCAGCACAAACATTGCGCAAGATGTCACCGACGATGCGATTCACTCGCTCGGTTTGACCATCATTCTGCGGATGATCCGCTGTGGACATGTCCAAACGTGTGCCGAGCACCTTTAGGATGGACTTCCAATACTTCCCTGTGATGCGAGGATCTCGGTCAGAGACAGTTGCCTCAGGCATACCGTGTTGTCGAAACACTCGATCGATAAACAGCGTTGATGTACCCTCACCATCAACGGTATCTGTCACAGCCGCCAAGTGAGCTATCTTGCTCAAACGGTCAACAACGACCACAATACCCGTATTTCCATTTGCCTCTTTCAATGATCCGAACAGGAAGTCCATACTGATGGACTCCCCACACCCTTTAGGTATAGGCAAAATAGCCAGCAACGCGGACGCGTGAGGTGATGGTTTCACCCGTTGACACGTTTCACACGTATGCAAATATGTGCTCACCCATTTGTATAGTTTGGGCCATCAATAACATTGGCTAACTGACCCGTAGGTCTTTTCACGACCGAGATGACCACTCAACGCAGTGTCATGCGCCTCATAGAGAATCCGATACTTCAACTCCTCATCATGAGGGACAACGATGCGAGAGGTATCCTCCACATCCGTGCTATAGCACAACAGGCCTTAGTCGATGGAATATCGATGTATCTTCGCACGTAATCGTGCCGACAATTCTATGTCCGAGTCCCTAAAATCCTCGCTCCCTAGAGCACGTAGCAGAGCTACACAGTGTTCATCCTTGGCATATGCCGTACGGATTAGGTCAGTGACTGACGACGACAGAGTCGTAACATGAGCAAGCTCATAGTCAGTCCTTCGTGACAACGCATCAACCAAAGCATTCTGCTTGCCCGGCTTGTACTTTACCTCGAAGTTGTACTCGGTAAAGAAGGAAAACCAACGATCCATCCTCTGAGAGAGATGAGGCGACTGGGTCGCAGTGCGTAGTGACGCATAATCTGTATAATTCACAAACGGCTTTAAGCTAAGAAGATGAACTATGAATTTGACGAGGG